AAGAGAAGTGCAGCCAGACAAAGCCCTGGTCTTAAATGAATGTCCTATACTGACGGGGTCAAAGAATTAATTTTTATTTTTGAATAAAGACGGCAACTTGGAGTCCCCATTTAAGTATTCAAAATCTTCTAAAGCATTGAAAAAAGCAACACAATGGACTCTTTCAGAATCAGCAGTGAAACACGAAGCCTAACAACACAAATTAAAACTTTGTGGAACTGCTTTTTGATACTGGAACAGGAGACACTTCATTACAGAAAGCTACCCAGCCATGTTTCTGGAGCTGGCGTCTTTCAGGAAATGACTGGATGAAAAGCTCAGATCAATTAGTTAGAAATAACCGAATGGATGAGATGACAGGCCTCTAGTTTGAAACTTTTCTTGTGTTCTTAGACACAACAAGGACTTACAATACATATACTGCTTGCTATGAGCCACAACACTTTACTCAAAGCCCAAAATAATGCTATCTAGTATTGTATCAGATTTGACTGTTATTATTAGAACTTAGTTTGAGCCACAAAAAAAGCAAGGTTATCATTTACTAATTTTTAAATCATTGAGAATGAGCTTCCATATAAAGTCGCAAAGGCTAATCCATCATAGCTAATCAAATCTAATTTCATAATTGTCATATGCTCAATGCTATTAGCATCATTTGTTTCTTTTTACGCATCCACATAGCCAAATGCCTGGCTTTTATACTACAAAATACAAATCCATCAGGATTAACTGTTATCTTCAAACATTATAGCTAAGATTTCAGAAAGTGATTCCATGGAACTGTTCCTGCATACAGAATGAAAATCATGGAGCAACATGATTTGTACAATCCAAATCTCTAAAGCTTTTCCATGTACATATACTAAAATTATTGAAAATGTTCAAATGTATAATAACACTGTCATTGTAACCTTATTATTAGATTTTTCTATGCTTACTTCACTTTCTTCACCATATCAATCTGTTATGTTCTGTTTTGTTTTTGTTTTTTATTTTATCCTATTAGTTATTATTCTGCTCTTTCTTTCCTCCCTAATAAAATATATTAGTTTATCTTTTACTTTAAAAGTAAAAAAAACAATCATGGGTCCACAATTGGAAATATACTAAAAATCCATATAATTATTTAATTATTTTAACACTGATTATACTCAAAAGCAGTCAGCTCCATGGAAGTTAAAATAAAGATTCCCAATAATCAGCTTATGCAAAAATCAAGTGATCGTGACAGATGAGTCTGCTGCTCATGTACAGTAGCACTAGGCTACCGATGAACAGGGCAGGAAGCAGATGCAGACCAATGAGCCCATTACTTGTGTTTGCAAATTGTTTAAATCTACTGACATACTGTATCAAACAATTAAAGAAATCCCTCTAGCTCCAAAGCAAAATCCCAGTTCTAATTAAAAGCAAAAAAGTGCAGATAATTTACAATTTTGTGTTTGGTGTGTACTAATAGAATGGCTGAGATGTTGCCTCAATACAATGTTTCCACTATATTTTTATTTTTTGACAGACCACATTGGCTGTGTTTCCTGTGAACAGTTACTGAAAAGATGCATCATTTATTGTGCATGCCAGAAGGACTTATTCACAGGATATTTAATCCTCCTGAATTTAAGAGGCCTGAGAAATCCGATTATGCTGAGTGGTAAAGTACAATAAGCTTGCCAGTGCTCACATGCTTAACTTTATATTAATTAAAACACAAATTAGTCAGATTCCATTGTCAAACAAACTTCATATGTTTTGCATCTTTACTGTATGTTTTACATGAAATTATTTTGTGTTCATTAGCAGTTGTGGTTGTAATATATGACAGAAAACAGAAGAAGCAAATACAAGAGACCACTGCAATTGCAACTAATTATACAGAAAATTGATTATACTCAGGTAATCAAGCCACACTAAGCTAGATTGGACAGTCTATGTTTCTGCCTTGATATTTAGATCATACTGATTGCTAAAATCAAATATACAGTTTTTGAAGTTTTTAAACTACTTAACACTTTCAACATGATTGTAAATTCTTGCATTCTGACAGATCAAAATCTGTTTTCAGTACAGTGCTTGAATTTTAAGCATTGTGTATATTATGACTTAACTTAAGTCAAAGAATACGTTACATAGGAACAAACTACAGGGATGGTCTCTAGTATTTCTTGTATTTTATATCTACTGGCATTTATTGTGCTGTCTCCAGTATGATGGTGTACAGTAGAAACTATAAAATATTCACTTTGAAGGAATTGTTTTTCTTTCCTCTAATCTTTGTGAAATAAAAATGGTTATATAGAAAACTCTGTGCTTAGGGTCTTCTGACACTGTTTCCTCAGTTGAATGTCACTTAGCAGTCTGATCATGAAAACCAGCTATCTAAAATGTCAAGGAATTAAAATCTTCAATTTTTCTCCTTACATGAAACAACTATATAAAACAAAATTGGATTATATAGAAAATATACCAATTTCTGATATAGATATTGCACTAATTTCAATAAACATTAGCATTTTAAGTTGATGATGATGATGATGATGATTATTGTTGTTGTTGTACTATATAGTGTACAGTATATAGTATGTATTGTTAAAAGACATGAGTAACCCTTCCTTCCAAAAATACTTTATTTTGGTGGCAACTATAAAAATGTGTTCTGTAGTGCAACACATGTGGCAGCTGAATATTTCTTCAATCCTGAGTCTCTCCAAGTGCATCTTTATTTTACAAGTGAGCCTCTCCAGTCTGACCTCCTTACACCTTGGAAACAACCCAATTGTCCAAGTCGCGATTCTGCCATCCTTTCTTCTTTCTCTGATCCTGTTGGCACTGAGCCTCCACAGACCTCCAGCACATTCTCCCTTTGCCCTCTATACCTATCCTTTTCTTTCTCTCTCCTCTCCCACTGTTCTTTTCCTGGGGAACAGTGCGAAAGGAGAAGCAAGGAAGAGAAAAGTGTAAAAGTATAAAAAACATCCAACCACTAACCACTGTATCCAATACGCGGGTCGCGGAAGAGCCGGAAACTATCCCAGCAAGCAACGGGACAGGGCTGGATACTCCCTGGAAGGGACGCCAGTCCATCTAAGGGCACACACAGATACAAACACACTCACAACAGGGCCAATTTTCTCCATTTATGTAATTTTATCTCAGATTTCATAAAAACCTCATCCTCCATGACTGAATTGGGGGCATGAAATTAGTGAATGTAACTCTTCAACTTTTATTCCATGCACGGAGAGGGGGAGCCATCGAGTGAAGGAAAATGAAACAAAGGGTTATAATATTTAAATCTGAATATTTTTTTTTATTTCTTAGATTTGGATATTTAAATAACTGAAACCATTGTTCATTATAAAAGAAAGAAAAGATGGAAAGGCTATAACAGAGTTGTTACTGGTTGTTTTTGTGTTGGTATATAAAATACAGGTAACATACAGGTTAAGTACAGAAAAAAAGGCAGCAGTGCAAAAACCTGTAAAAATCTACAACTTATTTCAGTCTATAATTATCCTTAGTGCAAGAAATCTGTTTTGAATATCTCTGATTTCAGAAGGGCTGAAGTGCATTGCCCCTCTTTTTCGTCAGTGGCCATAGCCCAGGGACTGGGTTTCCTGGACGGTGAAAGTGGGCGGGCAGTGATCAGAGACTGATTGCAGAAACAGTCAAAAGAAACTGACCAAACAGGGTGGACAACATGGCGGAAATATATTTGTCAAAATCAACAGATGCAACAAAAACCATACCTCTTGTGAGGCCATGTATAACATCTTGCTTTACCATAACACACCGGCTGAGGGAAAAGTCTGGTCTTTATACCATTTTACAGTATTCTTTTGGAATATGAAGGGTGATTCATATTCCTTTGTTATTAATCTTTTCTTTTTACAATGTTAATTAAGATGAATGGCTTAAGTATCCATTATACTGCACAGCAGAAAAAAAAAAAACAACAAACCGTGAGACAGTAATAACAAAATAGAACTTGAATAACCCGATGAAAATGTAAATTGCCTCCGTGGATAATTAACCATGTTGTATATAAACTACAAGTAATCTTTTCTCAACATTTTTTGGTGGATGTTCTATCTACAGTCCTTAACCAAAAATGTAAAATGAAATACAGTAACTGTTACCAGATACCACAATTACCAGAATCAGTTACCAGAATTTGGTTAACTGACAACTTAAGAAATGTATTGTTTTTGTGAACATGGTTAATAATTTTGGTGTTTACCTGTTTTTTGAAGATATCATGGTGTAATGGTGTAAAATGTGTTTTTGAATAGAATGTTTTGAGTATTTGCTTCTATCACTTTCCAGTACCAATAGATTAATAGGTTAAACATTGAAAACATATTGAATTGATTAATGACCCAAGAAGTGAATATTTTGTTTCTTCATTTTTTTTCCTGATCCAGTTTGAGCATTCTGTTATTTTGGCATCTGTGTTATTCTAAACCCTTATTCAAGACTGCTGCAATATGTGAAGAGGGTGAGATGACTTAAATATATAATTAATTGATTTTGTTAGGGCTGGTGCATAGGAAAACATATGTAAGTGTGCACACAGAAAGTAGTTCACCAGCTACTTGGTGAGTTAAAAAGGTGTCAGCTCATTATGAATTTCATATCCTTTGTCTGTTTCTGACTTATTAGAATGAAATGAGTCTGTAAGATTGTAGACTACTTTGCCTTGTGTAAGCATTAGTGGTTGTTCTCGGGGGGGAAAAGGATTACAACAAATCTGTCATTGTCTGCAGTGTATGGCTTGTAAGGGGTATGGGAACCTACTGCAAATTTAGATCCACCTTCCTCAACAGCAGACAATATGAAATAGGGCTCAAAAAAGGAGAAAGAGGAGTCAGGCTGTATAAGAAAAATGAGATGGTGAAAATCGGTGAAAACATAAGAACATTAAAAAGACAGAGCCCACAATTGTACAGGTAATAGATACAGGTGCCACCACGTTAAGCAGTCTCCTGTTTTCTTTTCAGGTCATCCATCAGCTGCGGTTGTCACAAAATGAAAGCACTGCCCTACATGAGTTATTGGAATGGAGAAGGAAGCTGTGTGAGGAGAAGGAAGACTGGCAGCAAATCATCCATAAATCAGAGCACAAGACCGTCACACCTCCTCCCCCACCTCCTCCTTGCAAAAAAACGACTCTGCTGAAGAAGGTGTGAGATTGATCTCATGACAGTATCCTCGTCCATTAAACTGAAGTCCATCGTTTTTTTCCCCTCCCGTCTACAGACAAGAACTGACTTCTGATCAGCATGAGATAAGCATATAAACACCAGACTCGATGGCTTGCTTGACACAGTCTGCTGTAGAATCGTGCACTATGGGGACTGATGATTGCAACATTCTGAGCTTAGGCTCCAGAATGAGTCCAGCAAGACTATAAAAATTGAAGATTGTGGTTTGACTTCAGCTACAAAAGCACATTGGCATAAAGGAACAATTTTAAAATCAGAATATTTCAATGTCATTTTCAGAGGATGTCATTTATGTATACGGATGTTTCAAACAGTACTTTCAGAGAAGAAAATATTGTTTATTCATGTAATCTACTGAATGGTTACATACAGCTTTGGTACACTTTCACATTTACATGGGAAAAAAAAGGGGAATGAAAACTTTGTTTGATAAATAGACCATGCTACAGTCTGAAACTTAAACCCAACTGGTGCTGATTACATCTACTCAATGAGTCTCTGTAGCTTCGAGGAGACAATGATGTTGACCTCATGTTCTCTCACTTTGTAATAACCTTTTCAGGTATGTGTATTGCTTACCACTTTCAGGTTCTCCCGACCCTTAAATAGTTTTGTAGGTTCATTTTAGCAAAATTACAGTCATTTGTTGCTGAAACACTACTGATCATCTTATGTACAAAGGATAGTAGAATTTAATTTAAAATTAAAATTACATTAATAAAAACAGTAAAAGCCATTCTTCTGCTTATAAAATGCTATCTCCCAGCACTGTTGTGCCATAATGTATGATAATTTGAAGCACTGAGTTACGCAAGACGTGCTGGGAATGGCTTGAGGCTGAAGTAGTTTGCCTTATGGGGTCATTTTTTTGTCTTGACTTTGTTTAAAGGAAATTTCAACAGTGAAAATTATTTATCTTAAAGACACATTTCTGGGCACAACATAGAAGGCTGTTAAAATCTATAACTTGGAAAGACCAATTCAACACACTGTACCTCTGTGTCTTTCAAGATTTTCATACAGTGTAAAATCACAAAAGTGTCACAAAAGCAGCAACATTTTCTCACAGATATAATCTAAATCATCCTTATAAATTAATTTTTCATCAATCTATAAATATATATGAAACACTACAAGACGTGAATGCTGATTCCATTATATTTACATAAAATATCTATATCACACGTAATTGTGTGATATTTATTTATCAAGGTACACTAGGCGCTTTGTCTTCAGTTGCAACAAATTCTCCTGCTGTTCTTTCTCTGCTCATAACTGCCTGAAAAAAAGACCAAACCCTTCTCAACTAGAACCCTTACAAAACCAATTAGCATTTGGTGATTATTCAAAACACCTCAAAACAACTGTAAGAGTTCTGGAGGATCTACATTGCTGTACTTTTAAGAAAATCAGATTGGTTGCACAAATTAAGGATTTTATTGAAGAGACAGTGCTGGATAATGTTGTGTTCTGGATAAAATTAAATAGTAATGCGCAAGAGAGAATTTTGTTTAATAAAAGAACATCTTCATTTGTGCTGCATACATACAATATGAATACTCTTTAAAGCGGACGTCTTGTCTCATCAAAGAAGGGAAGAATTTTATATCACACAAATTCTTCGTTTACAAATGTCTTACTGTAATCATAGTTTCAAGCCACTTACTTGCACAATGAAATCCTCTTGCTTATTATTTTTAAAGGAATAAATATTTAAAAGGTGTATAATTGTATCAGTGCTTATTGGTATTGGAACTGACATAATATCAGTTAAGCTGCTTAAAGTTCCGATCACAAAATATTTGTCACGGTGCTATTTTGCATTATTTTTGTAAAAGGAAAAAACATATCGGACTATACAGAATTGTGATGTTAACCCAACTTTCTATATGACGCTATATGACATTAAAAAATCGGCACTTCCTACTGGCCTATATACCTATATAAGTATATACCTGTAGTACCTGCTGTAAACAAAAAACAATGGTCGCAGTCTTGCTGGAGTTTCTGTTACTGCCTCAGTATGATCCTTCCCTTTTGATCAGCAGCCAGGATGCTGTTTCTTGTAAAGAAGCACAAGCTGCCAGGTGACTTATTGGAGTTTTCGCACACATGTTCAGAGTCTACAATCTTAGTGTTTTTTAACATATATCCTGCCAGTCATATCATATTAATTTATGTCCACTCTACTGTTTATATTTCGGCTTCTCAAAAAATGATGAAAAATCTAGCTTTGTTGCACTCTGAAATGAGATAGACTCTCCACTATTCTGTAGTTAAGGAATTGCATGACCCAGTTAGTCCAAATGTAAATGATTGCGCTTAAAAGGTTTTGTATATATATATTGTCATTGTAAAATAATTTTTTGGATGCTAAAGGTTCATTTTACAAATGTCCAATGAAAGTCACATCTCCTTCCCCTCTTCACCACACAAGGCTCAGGCTTTCCCTTTGAAAAAATGAATCACCTGGCCCTTCTGCAGTAAAAAATATTGCACTTGATCAGGGCAATTTTTGAAAATAGTGCTGTTTCACTTTGGTGCAGGAAACATTTTTACTGTGCACAGTCCATATGCATTGTTGCTATGATGTAATATATATTAGAAGGAGAAAATGTGTTGTGCTGTTTTCTGTAGGACATTGTATTTAAATATAATTTTTACTTATAATTGTTCTCTGTTTGTGAAGAAATGTATGTCATTTATTACAGGTTTATAAATACACAGAAGCAATAAAGTAAAGCCTGTGTCATTTAAGAAATCCAAACAAAAAAACAAAATAAATGGAATCCCCTTAAAAGATTGTATACCTCTTGCTTACATTGTATATGATTTTCTTAAAGGAAAATTCCTTATGTTTCATGTTTTCACTTTGGCTAAGTGGAGATTTTACTCTTACATCACAATTTCCAAAGCACATAAGGAAGCGGTGCTGTTGAAAAGGTAAGAAAATAATTATTCTCTTAACACACAATGTCAAAATCTGTTATGCTCATGGTTTCATAAAATAATTTTGCAGGGATTTGTTTTCCAGCAGACTTTGTAGTGTACGTAAATGTCTTTTTTTTTTTCACAATTAATCAGATGCTTTGTTATATCATTTTTTGTTATATCATTTTAAGATACTACTGATCAGATACATCAGGAATAAATTCTATAGATTGAGAGAGAGGAAATATATATTATTTTGTGGCGCTAATTGCTTGGACAGGAAATAAAATATTTCCTTCAGTTTTAAAACATTTCTGTTATGTCAGAAGTATTCAGATATCTCAAGAACAGTTGAGCAAATGGACACAATCAGAAACAATTGATCCAGATATACAGCCAATCCATTTAGTTATATGAATTGTATTGTCTATTTTGCCTCATTACTATGCGCAAGTACTCCACCATGAAAACCTCCATCTACAAACAAAATATCTTTGGCTGACACAATCTAATACTGGTAAATATGTAAAAGTAAGTGAAGTCTGCTATCTGTGTGAGGTGCTGAAAAGGTTATTTCTATTTCTTAAAACTTGTTAGAATCCTTAAAAGTTATTTCAATCTTATGCTGAGTCAATATTTGAAACAAGAAAATCCAATAAAAAATATAAAGATTTCTCTTTGCATTTGGCATTTTAGTGTACTCTATATTAGTGTTCTTTTTGATCATTAGTACACTTCATACTGTATCTTGCTATACATTTTATCTTGCTAAATTACAAAATCTTAAAAATGTTTCTTAACATTATAATTGAAACATAAAATTATAATTGTATTAACTTATACCTAAGTGAAAATAAACAAAAGAGTTAAGTGCATTTACTGTAGATATTATGTTAAGGGGTTCCAAGTATCAAGTGAAGTTGTGCTCATTCTTTAATAACAATACTTAAACATGATGTTCAGCATCTCTTGCAATTTATTTGAAAGCTATGTTGCTTTTCATTTCCTGGTGTAGTGCACTTACAAGTATGATTTTAGTTATGCAAATTGAAAGGGAAATACAATTCCATTTCCATTGAGGGTGTTTTCATCAAGTAGCTAAATAAAAAAAAATAAATATATTTGCACATAATCTATTAGTTCAATCACAATAATTCATTGTTTTGTTACCAAAAAAATGTTAAATTTCAATGTACACTATCTTTCAGATTTCTTTAAACCCCTATGAAACAGAAAAACTTCATATAGCAGAATGACTTACAGATTCGATAATATGTCTAACTGGGAAATTTCTGAAAATCTCCTAATGTAATAATAGCATTACATAGAATAAAGTCATATTTGTCATAAATATTTAATGGAATTCTGGAAAACAAGAGAATCACACCTCTAAGTATTCCTTTAAATAAAATTCAGCAAAAACAAATCTGCAGTAACATTCTTTTTTTTTAAATGGCCTCTGGGACTAGAGGTTTCCAAAGGTTTCCTGTTTCCCTGGAGTATAAAAGGAGGTAATGCACAGAAAACATTTAGTAGTTTCATGCATCATAAAGGTTAAAGTCATAGAGCTCTTTGAAGAATGCAGGATCAGGTCATTGACCAAACTCCACAAGGTGGAGGAAGCCTATAAAAGAATCCACATAAAGCTGAATCTTCCACTTCCCTCTGAAGTGTCCATTTCAGATCATTAAGGTTACTAGTATAGACTGCCTACCAGGAACAGGACACAAGTTTAGATTGTAATCATGAGCTGGGAAACAAGCGGTTTAGGAGACAGCTGTAAATCTAAGGGAAGAATAAGAGATTTCCAATACACACTGGCATCTTCAGGATACAAAGTGTTGAAAACGAATATTTTAAGTCACCTGCATGAATGTGGCATTCACAGGTATGATCCTTTGTGATCCACAAAGAGAGGCTACTCAAACTTAGCAATTCAATCAGTGTCTTATGCTCAGTTTAAATGAAAATTAAGATTATCAGCATTCTGTTTGGCACAAAAAAAAAGGTTCAACCCATGTTGAGAATACTCTTGTGCCCCCTATGAAAAACTGTGTATTCTACAAATAATGAAAAAGAATAACTTGTGAACATGTACAGTATTACATTATATAATTCTTAAAAGCAATTGAATTAATCTGCATGTTTGGTATTAAAAAAACAAGTGTGATCTTAGAATATTATACACATGAAAACATTTAAAAATGGCAATAAAAATGAATGACTGCATTTCTCCTATTTCTACGTTTAAAACAAAAACCCAAACACACAAAAAAAACATTGCCTCTAGTGAAGCTAATTGCCACAAGTGAATCTCTTTATGGCTTACAAAAGTGATGTTCCGTTCTAGCAAGCAGGTGTCAAGGGAAATGACAGCATACAGTTCTTACTGGCAGCACAAACTGCCCAAGGGAAATGTAAATAAGCAAACTGTTTACAACCTGGGATAAATATTTGCAACCAAAGCACACTTGATACCTGGTTATGTCAGAGAGTGATAAAAAAAACATTGCTTCTTTGGATGTGTGGCAAGATTTTATTTGTTGTTATCGTCTGAAGAATGTAAGACTTCAGCGTTAAAATGTGTATGTTTTGTTTTCTGAAGTACAACTTTTCTTAGGTACTGTACAATATATCTGCAACAAAGCAAAAAAGAATATCTAAACACAGCAACTCAGCAAAACAAAAGCTTGTTTTTGTCAAACAAATGCCTCAAAATTAAACTTTAAAATTCATTAACTATATGTGCTGGTATAGCAAATTAAGATATTTTTGTACTGTGTATTTATTGGTCAATCTACATTGTATCCTTTGTGAAACACATGTGCTTCTTTTTTTTTTGCCTTTAGTCCCCAGTCAGTGTTGGAATTCAATCCAATTTAGTTCAATTCTATGTTGAGGTCAAAGTTTTCAGCTTTGATTGAAAAATGTAGAATGTTTTAGTCTTCCTTACATAGACAGATCATTACAAAGTTTAAGACAGATATACTATAAATCCAGACCTTTTACTAACCTGAAAACATGGATTGTTGCATAAGGAATACAGGTGAATACAAAGGCCCAGGTTAATCATTGTGTGGACTGTCTGAGAATATTAGACTGCAGTTCCATTCATGAACCAAAATGAGTCATTTAACCCTTAAAATAACCATTTTCTACTAACCTTCAGCAAACCATGCAAGAGTCTTCATTCTTCATCATTTGGCTTGCAATAAATAGAATTTGTGTTTGTGACATCTACGTTTTATATTAAACAGTTAACTGATTGCACTTTGACTTTGATAATAACTAAACAAAACCTCAATGCAAGAGTGTCCTAACTGAGATTTCTTTACACTGCATACAGTATGTAGTATAGAAAAGTGTTTTTTTTTACTGCAAAGAGATGTAAAGTACAATTGATAGCTAGGAATGTATATTGGCCAGATTATTAATTTCAAAGAGGACATTTATTTTCCATACTTTCTGTTGAAGTAGTAGAAGAGTGTAAATTTCCAGAGAACTATGGAGCTGGTATTTAAAAAGGATTCCCTGGTTTCTCTGCAAATCAAGGGAGGTTGAATTCTGTATCTCACAGACCGTCTTCACACTAGGAGGCCACAATGGAATATGGACAACAGCTCATAGAGGGGGACAGCATCTCTTCAGTTATGTTGGCCGTTCTCACCTTTCAGGCATTCCAAGCCAGTATTAACGATAGTAATAGCACGGACGACAAACCTCCTGTGGATATCTCCTGCAGCACAGGGACATTGAACACACATAACAAGAATGTTACAACAATGACCCTCATAAATCCACCAAAGGTACAAATAACCTGAACCAATCAATTGACCTGGATGGGCCTGTTTCAATGAAAAACTATCACCCATGTGGAGATCACAACGACCTCCGTTCCGAAATCCCTTGAACTTTGCTCTGTTTTTTTTTTTACTGCCCCTGCTGGGTCATTGGTGGCTCAAAGCAGACACAGTGTCAGATCATAGAGACTGATGGGTGGTATTTTCAGTATTTTAAAGCTCAGAGTTACAGTATTTTAAATTGATAATGCATATTTTATTCGAAGTTACTTGTGTTAGCACGTCAGTGTCACAGTTAAGAGCTGTGGTCGTGTTGTTTCCTCTGCTACATCCACTCTCACCCATTCAGATTGAGCTTGGGAACCTCATATTAAGCGCTGGCCATTACCTTTGGTGTGACTTAAGCAATACTTGCAAGCAAAGACTTGGAACCTTGTAACATGATAAACAACAGTTCTTTTGAGAGAAATGGTCATGGTAAAACATGATAATCTTTCATCCATTTCAGATATTCATTTGAATCATAAAAGGCACCATGCCACATGTCAGGATTTAGGGTGACTAAGGAATAGGATTAAGATTTAACAGATGCATGAAATAGACTTTAGCCCACTGTAACACCACCACTGAGCTCGGTAAGGGAAATTAACTTAAAGAGCTGCACTGCTATGCTATTCCATCTCATGATATTATATGACTGAAAAGGAAAGTGTGTATACAACACAAAGTCATTTGAGAACAGAGACCCACACACAAAATAAAAATATGCAGCCAACAAACCACACAGCCCTCTTCTCACATTGACATAATACCTCTGTACGATACTATACATTTCCATTTTAAATCAGATCAATTACAAGATTTGTCATTTAAATTAACAGCCCAAGCAGGCAGACCGCTGGTGATACTGAATATGCAAAATGCACATGCCATAAAATCTGCATTTCACACGTTCCCTCTTTTATTTAAACTTGCCATTAAAAGTCCTGCCATGATATATGAGCTATAGAGCCATTATATTCCACCTTAACTGATTTCATTGGTGGCTAGACAGGGCCTAAAGTGCCTTGGCTCTCCATACGCATGAGGCTGAACTGGAAAGATATTAAATTTTGCGCTCGTGCGTCTGCTTTTAAAAAAAATACCATTAATATGACCACAACAGAGCATCGTTACTCATCCAGGCTTCAATTTGCTGAGCTATCTGTGTAGTGGGGCATACGGTAGAGTTTCTTACCCTTCCCAAGTAAGAGAGATGT